CAGCTTTAATCTATATGTGTACTCAGGAAAAGGCAGTTATTATTAGCCTGGTTAGTGTTTTCCCTATTTTGAATTGTTTTCTTAGGATACATTTTTAGAAAGGTAATTATTGGGTCAGAAGTTATACACATTATTTTCTTCCTTAAAAAATGGTTTGCCTAATTGCTCTTTTAAATGATTGAGCCAATTTGTATTTTATATGAGAGGAAGTTCTATCATACTGACATTGCCATGATATATTTTAGTTTTAAAATATTTTTGATAGTTTAATGGAAGAAAAATGGAACCTTGTTTTAGTCTGCACCTTCGCTTATCAGGTTGAATTTTTTTTATGTTTACTTGTACTTCCACAATTACATATTTAATGTTTGTTGAGGATTTAAAAAATTATATAAAAGTATAGGCTGCACACCATGGCTCGTACCTGTAATCCTAGCACTTTGAGAGGCTGAAGTGGGAAGACTGCCTGAGACCAGGAGTTCGAGACCAGCTTGAGCAACATGGTGAGACCTTGACTTTACAAAGAAATTTTAAAATTAGCCAGGCATGATGGCATGCACCTGTAGTCTCAGCTACTCAGGAGGCTGAGGTAGGAGGATCACTTGAGTCCAGGAGGCCAAGGCTACAGTGAGCTGTGTTCATGCCACTGTACTCCAGCCTGGATGACAGAGTGAGACCATGTCTCCAAAAAAAAAAAAAAAAAGGTATACATTTTAAGCCCAGTATATGTTTTAATGTCATTGATCTTCACCCATCACACAGAAATATGTAGCTTTACACAGGTCCTTGAATATACGTGGATTTTTATCAAGCCATTTTCTATCCTGTTGACATGATGCAACATTATTGGGGAGATTTTTCAAACACTTTACTATTCTTGGTTTAAAAAATTTAAAAATGGAAAAAGGGAAGAGGAGAAAAAAATAGTAACTGTATGACTATAATATATGAAAGACAGGCAAAAAAAGTAAAAGATGAAAGTACTAAGCCAGGCATGAGTCAGGTCCTTGGTCAGTGGGGAATCTACATTGGACCTGGTGCTTTATTGCTAAAATTGGCCTTGCCCTTTCTTGTTGGTGAAAAGGAGTGCTGTGTACAAATAGCCGTAAGAGCCTGGCAAGGAGAGGGAAATGTTCTCTTGTTTTGTTTGGCTGCTGTTCTGCATGTTCTGTCTTATCTGTAGTTCTCAGGTAATAACTTTCCTCCTCTGAATAACTACCAAGCCCTATCCCTGAGGATTGTTTTTTTTTTAATAGGCAGGTTGTATTTCTTTCTGTTGACTTCTAGCAAGGTATGGCTATCTGTCAGAGTTGGGCATACTTGAAACTTCCAGTTCTATGAACCGAATTTAAATGTAACAAAAAAGGAAGCAAGCACCAAAATATAATGTTCAGATTATTTGAGTAGTATTGTCATCTTGATATTGTGATTGTTGGCTGATGGCATAGAATATAAATGAAAATAAATAATAAGTAATAATGCAGGCATGTATCTTACACAGGTAAAGGGAGCAATTAATTGGGATTCATGTCACTATTGTTATTAATAGGCCCTTAGTACTTTTTATCTTAAAATACATTAAAGATAAATTGCTGTACTTTCCCTCTAGCTTGATATATTTTATTTCACTTTAAAATTAAAGCAGCTCCAGGATAAAATATAGAAGCTGTTTAATACCAATTACAAATTGAGCAAACTCATTAAGTGTGACTAGCATGGCAATGTGATTTCACTCAGTAAGAATTTTTTTATTTCCATTCTTTTATTGTGCATTTGTAACATAAACTCTGTAATGTAATGTTTCATTTTAAGATCTTTTTCTTCTTCTAGGGAATTAATAACATAGCATTTTAAGGAACTTTTAATAAAAATACTATTTTTTTGGTAAATTGAATGTCACTACTTAGTATCAGAGACAATATTACATTCTTCACTGCATACTCATGAAAATTTTAAAAGCCTGCCTGAAATCTGTGTATACTTGGTCATCTAAAAGCCAGATTAAAATTTTTTTTAACTTTTATTTTAGGTTCAAGGGTACATGTGCAGGTTTGTTATATAGGTAAATTGCATGTCACAGGGATTCAGTGTACAGATTATTTCATCACCCAGGTAGTAAGCATAGTACCTGATAGGTAGTTTTTTAATCCTCACCCCCCTCCCTCCTTTGACTCTTAAGTAGGCCCCAGTGTCTGTTGTTCCCTTCTTTGTGTCCATGTATACTCAGTATTTAGCTCTTACTTATACCTGAAAACGTGCAGTATTTGGTTTTCTGTACCTACATCAGTTTGCTTAGGGTAATGACCTCCAGCTCCATTCATGTTGCATGCAGCAAATGACATGATCTCATTCTTTTTTTATGGTTGTATAGTATTCCATGGTGTGTAACACATTTGTTTACCCAGTCTAGGTTGATTCCATGTCATTACTATTATGAATAGTGCTGCAGTGAACATATGAGTGCATATGTCTTTATGGTAGAACAATTTATATTCCTTTGGATATATACCCAATAATGGAATTGCTGGGTTGAATGGTAATTCTTTTTTAAGTTCTTTGAGAAATCGCCAGACTGCTTTCCACAGTGGGCGAACCCATTCCCACTAGCAGTGTATAAGAATTCTCTTTTCTCTGCAACCTCACCAGCATGTTATTTTTTGACTTTTTAAAAATAGCCATTCTGACTGGTCTGAGATGGTATCTCATTGTGGTTTTGATTTGCATTTCTCTAATGATTAGTAATGTTGAGCTTTTTTTCATATGCTTGTCGGCCATGTGTATGTCTTTTGAAAAGTATCTGTTCATGCCTTTTGAAAAGTATCTGTTCTTGTCTTTTGCTCTGTTCTTAATGGGGCTGTTTGGTTTTTGCGTGTTAATTTGTTTTAGTTCCTTATAGATTCTTCATATTAGACCTTTGTCAGATACATAGTTTGCAAATATTTTCTCCCATTCTGTAGGTTGTCTGTTCAGTCTGTTGATAGTTGCTTTTGCTGTGCAGAAACTCTTTAGTTTAATTAGGTCCCATTTGTCAATTTTTGTTTCTGTGGCAGTTGTTTTTGTTGTCTTTGTGATGAAGTCTTTGCCAGAGCCTGTGTCCAGAATGGTATTTCCTAGGTTATCTTCCAGAGTTTTGTAGTTTTAGGTTTTACATTTAATCAGTCTTGTGTTGATTTTTATATATAGTGTAAGGAAGATGTACAGTTTCAATCTTCTACACATGACTAGCCAGTTATTCTAGCATGTTTTGATATGAGCATTCATATTGTTTATTCTCAGAAGGGCTGAGGGAACCCTAGGATCAGTGCTTATTATATCAAAAAATTAAATGAGTAAATATACACTTTAGGTGGCCACTTCTGTTTGACTAAATCTGCTTATATAATTCTTTTCTCTATTATAGAATTTGGGATAAGAAAAAATTTTCCAGGAATAATTATTAATCAGTGACTTAACATTTCTTGTGGCCTGGTGCAGTGGCTCATGCCTGTAATCCCAGCACTTTGGGAGGCCAAGATGGGTGGTGACTTAGCCCAGGAATCTGAGGCCAGCCTAGGCAACATGGCAAAACCCCATCTCTACAAAAAATAAAACAAATGCTAGGCATGGTGGTATGTACCTATAGCCCCAGCTACTTGGAAAGCTGAGGCAAGAGGATCACCTGGGCTTGGGAGATGGAGGCTGCCATGGGCTGTGATTGTACCACTGCACTCGAACTTAGGTAATAGAGTGAGACTCTGTCTCCAAAAAAGAAACCTTAAAAAAAAAAAGTCTTAAGCCCCTCCCATTTATTCCCCAATTTATGTGGGCACATTGCAAAATGTGTATTTGTGTGTGTGTCTATATATTACGTACATATATGATATTCTTAGAACTAAGCAGCAAAACTGTGTACAACAACAAAACTAGAGAGAAAGAAGATGGGAAATCCCAGCTCCTAAACACTTCTCACAGAACCAGATGCATGCATAAGGCGTGCTAGGTCTTACCTGTTGAGGGAGAGAAAAGCATGTTGCTAGCTGCCCGCCGTGCCATCAGTCCTATAGGATTGTTCGGGTATATGAAAAGATTTAATTAAATATCATTTTATAAATTTTGAATTCAGCACTTTATTCTTGAAAAGTTTTGGCATTTAGCAGAAAAAGAGTAGCTTAAAAAAAAAAAATTGGCTGGGCGCGGTGGCTCACGCCTGTAATCCCAGCACTTTGGGAGGCTGAGGCAGGCAGATCACCTGAGGTTGGGAGTTTGAGACCAACCTGACCAACATGGAGAAACCCCATCTCTACTAAAAATACAAAATTAGCCAGGCGTGTTGGCTCATGCCTGTAATTCCAGATACCTGGGAAGCTGAGGGAGGACAATCGCTTGAACCCAGGAGGTGGAGGTTGCCGTGAGCTGAGAGTGCACCATTGCAGTCCAGCCTGGACAACAAGAGCAAAACTCTGTCTCAAAAAAAAAAATTAATTTTTTTGTTTGTTTTGGGATTTTATTTTCTGATTGTAAAAGTAATCCATGTTGTAAAGTATACAGAAGCAGAAAAAAAATTGCCCATCCTTCTGCTACCTGGATCATCACAAAATAGTATATATGGTAATGAGAGATATCTGAGAACATCTTATTTGCAGCTCCCCCCAAAAGACTATGTTTGTGGGATACTTTCCAGTTTTAAATGTGTGATATTACAGAAACATCCAGATTCTGAATGGTCATGAATTAGCTGTATATTTGGACCTCCCATTTCCACCACTATCATTTTTATTCTAGTCATTTTGTTTCACTAATTAGAGTTCTGGTTGATACCTGTTAAGGTAATAAATCCTGCCCTGTACAATTTTATATTCTGATTTTGTACTGGCTGTAAGAACTGATAATATCATGGTCTCAGACCATTTCACAATGAATATGAGATCTGTCTAATGACTTCAAAGTATGGAATAAGTTCAAAGTTCTTAACTTCATGTGAAATGTAAACAAAATGTTATAGAATTCCTTCTCTGTTACAGGTTGGTTGTGATCGTAGCCAAAACCTTGTGGACATTTGTAGAGAGAGGCAATTTCAGGCTTTTGTCTGTGATGCATTGGCAGTACCAGTCCGCAGTGGGTCTTGTGATGCCTGCATCTCCATTGCTGTTATTCATCACTTTGCAACAGCAGTAAGTATGGTCTTTCTTTCTCTTAAGAACTTGTAGCTAAAGCAGCAGGAAGAGTTCATGAATTTTGCTGATTTTGGACCCTGTTTTAGCTTTTCAGTTCTTTCCATTCTCTTTTCTTGTCACAGTTTGCCCTCTTTGTAAGAGAGCATGCAGAATGAAGATGGACGACTGTTTAAGTATCTTCTACTTAAACAGAGAGCGGATGGGACTCTATGCTTTTATGGCTGCATGCTTTTGCCCCTTTCCTACCCCAAGTCTCATTCACTTCTAAATGCCTTCCTTCAAACCCAGAGTTGCAGAATTTTAGCTGGAAGAGACTTTGAGATCATCAGCTCCAGGCCTCTTAAGTATTCTCTCTCCTTAGACTCTGAGTCCCTTCTCTATTTCTTTCTCAGCTTTTCTTTCTCAACCCGTGGTTTTATCCCTGACATGTGAGTGTTACTTCTTTCCCATTCTGTTTTTCTTCCTTTCCTATTCTTTTTTTTTTCAAAACTCTGTCTTTTTTAGCTGGTAGTAGTATGTTGACTCTTTTAGTATGTTAATCTTAGTTTTAAAATAAATAATATTTAATATTTTCTTTTTTTCTTTAAAGAACAAAAGACCACTTATTTTTCTTGGGTGTCAGCAGTTGTTCCCCTGATCTAAGCAATAGCTTTATAGCTCACCGTATGGGTCACCAGCAGTTTCAGTAGACCTTATGACCTTAACTGAGTTCAAAACAAATCAAAACAAATCAGAAAACTGTCTGTGTCAGTAGTCTCTTTACTTTTAATAGTAACCAAGAGATTCTGCTGGGCTGCAGCAAGCAATATTAGGTTCTTTACAGCAAAAGCCACTAGGCTTCAGCACAGTTAGAGGCATTATTGCAAATAGAGAAAGGCTTGAAAGGAGCAGCTATACCAGTAAGTTTAAAAATCTGCTTCATTTGGAAGAAATGTTTGGCACATGTTGGTTGCTTCAGCTACAACTCGGTTGTTGTATTATAACTTATTGCTATAACTTATTTTCAAGTTATAAAAGACAATAATGTACACAAATATATCTATATCCATTTTTTGCAATTGCAAATATACGTTGGATACCCTCCCCTGTATGACGTTCTATGCAATCGTTTTAGAAATCTGTCATGTCCAACTTTCTCTCCATATCTATTGTCATTTATTTAAAAAATAATTCATTGATGACATGGAAAGGAGTGAAATTGGATCCTTACATTACACCATATGCAAAAAAAAACTCAAAAAGGATCAAAGACTTATACAGAAGAACTAAAACTATAAAATTCTAAGAAGAAAATAGGAGAAAAGCTTCATGACATTGTATTTGGCAATGATTTCTTGGATATGATACTAAAAGCACAGGCACCAAAACAAAAAATAGATAAATTGGACTTCATCAAAATTAAAAACTTGTACATCAAACAACACTATCTGCAGAGTGAAAAGGCAGCCCACAAAATGAGAGAATATATTTGCAACTTGTATATCTGATAAGGAATTAATATCCACAATATATAAAGAGCAACAAAAATACAACAATAACAAAACAATTAAAAACAGACAAAGAACTTAAATAGACGTTTTTCCAAAGAAGATATACAAATGGCCAATGAGCACATGAAAAGATACTCAGCATCACTAATCATTAGGGAATGCAAATCAAAGCCATAATGAAATACCACTTCACACACATTAGAATGGCTATTATCGGAAGCATAGAAAATAACAAGTGTTGGCAAGGATGTGGAAAAATTGGAACTCTTGTGCATTGCTGGTGGGAATGTAAAATGGATCAGCCACTGTGGAAAACAGTACAGTGGTTCCTCAAAAATTGAACATAGAATTACCATATGATTCAGCAATTCCACTTCTAGGTATATACCCAAAAGAATTGAAAGCAGAGACCCGAACAGATGTTTAGACACATATGTTCATAGCAGCATTATTCACAACAGCCAAAAGGTGGAAACAACTCACATGTTTGTTGATGGATGAATAGATAAGCAAATTATGGTTTGTACCTATAAGGGAATATAATCAAGCCTTAGGAAGGAAATTCTGACATATGCTACAACATGGATGAACCTTGAGGATATTATGCTAAGTGAAATAAACCAGACACAAAAGGACAAATATTATATCATTCTACTTACAAGAACTACTTAGAAGAGTTAAATTCATAGACAAAAAGTGGAATAGTTTTTACCAGAGGCTGTGGGAGGGAGGCATAGGAGTTGTTATGATTTCATTGATACAGAGTTTCAGTTTGGGATGATGAAAAAATTCTGGAGAGGGATAATAGTGATGGTTGCACAACCATTAAGTATGAATGTACTTAATGTCACTGAGTTGTACACTTAAAAATGGTTAAAATAGCAAATTTTGTTACATGTATTTATCACCGTAAAAATAAGTCATTGAGGCTGGTTGTGGTGGCTTAATGCCTGTAATCCCAGCACCTTGGAAGGCCAAAGTGAGTGGATCACTTGAGGTCAGGAGTTTGAGACCAGCCTGGCCAACAATGCAAAACCCCGTCTCTACTAAAACTAGAAAAGTTATCTGGGTGTGGTGGCGCACGCCTGTAATCCCATCTACTCAGGAGTCTGAGACACGAGAATCACTTGAACCCAGAGGTTGCAGGGAGCCGAGATCATGCCACTGCCCTCCAGCCTGGATGACAGAGAGAGACTCTATCTGAAAAAAAAAAAAAAAAGTCATTGAAAATCAGTTACACACTGCTATTAAGCAAATAGCTGGGCACAAGATGGAGAAGACTCAGTCCCTGCTTCGTAGAACTCATGGTTTAGTGGAGGAGGCATTTATTTATGTATTTATTATTTGTTGGATTTGTGTGTTGTTGGTTGAATGCCATAGTTATGAGTGGGACTTAGAGAGTCATTGAAAAGTCTAACACGTGGGAGTACCTTGATGGGGTAAATGGCCTGATAGAGATCATTTTTATGGCACTGTGAAAGATGATATAGGGTAGAAGATAAGATTTTATATGGGAAATCTCATCCAAGTATCTGGAGACAACGAGGTAAGGGAATTAAAAGAGTCTACTGACCTGTGTCACATCCCTTCACAGCTACAGTGTTCTTTTCAACTGATCCCAGGTTATCTCTATTTTAATCCAGTTTACACTCTGGTGCCAGTCTCTTCCCTGACGCCACTGCTTCTACTATTTGACATTCTTTTTACTTTCGTGACCTTGAACAAACATTTTTAGTGATTTCTGAATACTTAGGTTGCTCAACTGTAAAATAATGATGACAATAGCCTATCTCACAGGACTGTCAGGATGAATGAGACAATACATAAAGTACTTATTATAGTGTCTTATACATAGTAAGAGCTCAGAAAAGATTAGTTATTGTTTTAATAATCATTTTTTTCAACCATTTTTATAAAATGGTCTCGTCTTATTTTTTAGCTTAATTTCCCGATATTTCCCGGCTCCTTAAACCCAACTTGGAAAAATCCTCAGAAAGTTTCCTCCTATTAATTCACTTCTCTGTGTATTAGTCATGCTGAAGATGCTTTCTTCTATTTTAACATATAACCTGAGATTATTTCCTGGGCTTTTTGGCCATTTTGAATGGGCTACTTGGGCGTACAAAACAATGTATGTTACTTTGACAATTGAGGAAGGCATTATCTGAGGCTAAGAGAGCTGTGGAACTGGAAATATTAATTTCTGTTTATCAAATATTGTGTGTATCTTAGTTCTCTTTCATTGCTAGGTCTATTTCCATAATGTAGTTTATTATTACATTTTTTCCTCTTTTGTTAGCTTGCTGTTTACATATTATTTTTTTGTTTTTTAAATGGTTACCCTAGACATGACAACATACATCTCTGACATTATAATCTACCTTAAATTGGCATGATTACCCCTTCCTGACAACGTAAGACTTCATTAATAACATTTAACCCCTTCTGCCTTTTATTGTATTATTATTATATGTTATTATTTGTTTTAAGCTCTCAACCTTCATTTATATTTCTTCACGTTATTTACCCTTTCTGGTATTCTTCCTTTTTTCCTGCATCTTCAGAGTTTCAGAGGAAGTAGGTTTCTTTTGCTCGAAGAGTTCTCTGTCCTATTTTCTTTAGTGTAAGTATACTGGTGACACATTCTCTCATCTTGTGTGTATCTGAAATCTCTTTATGTTGCCTTCATCATACAAGTGATATTTTTATTAGGTATTGAATTCTTGATTGACATTGTTTTCTGTATTTTCCCTTCTTTTTCATCTCTGTGCTTCAATCTGGGTAATTTATATTGACCTGAACTATAGTGTAATACTTATCTTTGTAAATGTATCTAATTTGCTAAAAATTTAAATTCATTGTGTTTTCTAGAATTTCCAACTTCTTAACATATTTTATCATGACTGGAATTCTTGATCTTTTCCTCTGGTGTTTTGAACATACTAACTATAGTTATTAAAAGGCTTTGTCTGGGGATTTATTTCTGTGATATGATATTTCTTTTTTTTTCCTCTCTGTTTTTCGGTCCTTTGATCATCAGTATTTTTAGCATACTTCATAATTTTTCATTGTTTGCTGGACATTTTATGTTAAAAGATTTGGATACTTTTTCTCTGAAGGAGGTTAAATTTTTCTAAGGACAAACAGATAAAGTATAAGCGGATCACTTTCATTCTGCAGAGAACTGGTTTTATGCTTTATTGGGGATGATTTGTATCTATTTTGTTTTTGTTCCTACTTCTGTAATGTAGCCCTTCTGGGTCTCAAGTGAAAGCCGGGAATGTACTCCAAGGCTATTACACCTTGGCACACCTTAAATTCCAACATCTGTCTGTCTAACATTGGCTGCTAACATTTCTGTTTAGCATTTTAACTTCCCAGCTGCTAATCTGCTAAGTTTCTTGGAATTTCACCCTATCTACATGCAGCTTAGAAACCGGCAAATGCTTCAAAGGGTGTTTGTGTATAGATTTTTGAAATAATTTTCCTGCAGTTTCTCCTTTATCCATGACTCTGTCCCTCAGCTGCTTTGACCTCCCTATACTCTGAGCCCTATCTGTTCAGGCCACTAAGACTTCTGCATTCTGCTCGTATTCTGTTATCCCACATTATGAATTAGCAGATAATTTCAGGGAAAAGCTGAAGTGAATCTAGAGCTCACCTTGGCTTAACTTCCCTTCGCTCAGGGATTATAGCCCTTCAAAGGCCTGCCTGCAGTGTTACTCTCGGGTGCCTTAAGCAGCTGTTTTATGTATTTTACCCAGCCTTTCTGGTTGTTTTCAGTGGGAGAATTAATACCAACAACTTCATCAAGGCTATAAGTAGAAGTTTCCATAGTATAGTTGACACAATTCCTTTGTAAAAGCATTATATAAACATCGAAGTGCTTCATATTACCGCTTATGACCCTGTAAGAAGTCATCGGTTGTTTCATGTATCCCAGCCAGACGGTTAAGGAAAAAGTCACAGGGAAGATTAACAGAAATAAACTTTGCTTTTCTCTACTTCCTCCTTCCTGAACATTTTTTTCTTAATCACAGAACAGAGTGCCCTTTCCTCTTTTCTCTTTTTTGTTTTATATAAGACATTTCGTTAGATTTTCTTATTAGTCATCCTAATTGAAAACAGTCCTATGGTCAGTTTTATTTTCTAATTTCCTATCTCTTCCAGGTTGATCATGTGTTTTGGTTTTTTTCATTAGGAACGTAGAGTGGCAGCTCTGCAAGAAATTGTTCGACTCCTGAGACCAGGTGGGAAGGCACTCATTTATGTCTGGGCAATGGAACAAGAATATAATAAGCAGAAGTCCAAGTATCTTAAAGGAAATAGAAATAGCCAAGGAAAGAAAGAGGAGATGAACAGCGATACCTCAGTGCAGAGGTCACTTGTGGAGCAAATGCCTGACATGGGCAGTCGAGACTTAGCATCTTCTGTCCCCTGCATTAATGACTCTCAGGAAGGAGGATATAATTCAAGGCAAGTTTCTAATTCCAAGCTGCCTATTCATGTTAACAGGACTTCTTTTTATTCTCAAGATGTGCTGGTTCCCTGGCACCTTAAGGGAAATCCTGATAAAGGCAAACCTGTTGAGTCATTTGGTCCCATAGGATCCCAGGACCCAAGTCCTGTGTTTCATCGTTACTACCATGTGTTCTGTGAGGGAGAATTGGAAGCTCTCTGCCGGACTGTGAGTGATGTCAGAATTCTGCAAAGCTACTACGATCAGGGAAACTGGTGTGCGATTCTTCAAAAGGCCTGATTATTTACCTCAACACATCATATAGAAAGAAGAAATGCTCACTTAAAAAAAAAGAGACTAAATTAATTACCCTTTTAATTAAAGAGAAAACTTGTGGGAAAGTACCAAAGGAAAGCTGAGAAAAATTTGGAAGTAGGGATTCATTAGGAGACATTCAAATGGCTATTGTTGGCTGACATCACAGATGTGGTGTTGGCTCCTCCTACTTCCCTACAAGAGGTGGTTTCTAAAAGTGATTGAAGTAGTTTGTGCAGTGTTTGTAATTCTTGGGTAAGAGTCCAGGATTTTGAACATAACAGTATTTTAGTAAAGTGCTACTAAATGTACTAAATCATATAGGATTTTAGGGAAATCATGTAGGAATTAACATATAATTATATGTTAATACAGAAAATATTCCTGGTCAGTAGAAAATTGTCTGAAGTTTTACCTATGGTTTTTAGCTCTGTAAAATCATAGACAATAACCATTCTGTTTCCATGCCTGACTAGCCCAGGGCTGGACATATAGCAGGTGTCTAATAACATTTAGTCAATCAGATAATACCCAGAACTTAGTAGGAGTTTCATTTAAAAACTACTTTTTGAACCCGACCATATACCAGTTACTATTTTAAGTACTGGTAATGAAGCAGTGAATAAGAAAGAGCAAAGCTCTTACTCTTATGTTTGCTTACATTCTAGAAGGGGAGACAGACAGCAGGCAAATAAATAAATAGTTACTATGTGCCAGATAGTGATAAATGCCATGAAAAACATGAAATGAGAGAGGATTTACCTTGGAGCAAAAGATTACTTTTAAATGGCTGGAATAACTACCAATCCTGACTAATTTATTATCAAGAGCTAATTAGTATTCCAAATTCATTGATTAGGGTGCTAAAAACAACCCAAATGTGCTCCTTTAACTCCTTTGTTTAAATGACAAAAGTTAGAAGGTGGTCACTCAGACCTAACTATGCCCTTAGAGCCAAAGCTGTGATGTCCTTATTGGTTATTTCTAGTTGATTCATAATTTGTCCCAATCCTGGTTCAATCAGGGGTTATTTTTTAAAATCTGTACAATATTGCATAATAGTAACCCAGTTAACTTACCACTTAGGTCAGGTTTCCAGGAGGAACAAAGGTAGAAAGTCAACCATAGGTCATATTATCACATAGAAGGAAAAGCCTTTTTTTAAAAGAAAAAATTTTTTGAACACTTTACTCTCTGTATGCACTACTTTTGTAGTAATAATGCTTAAGACTGTTTTAAAGAAAAATTGCTTTCTGTGGATTATAGGTACCTATATAATTAATATATATTGTTATTAGTGCTAGTGATACTTAATCTTGAAGCATCAAGTTTTCAGAAACCTGTAGTGATCAATAATGGGTCTTAGATGACAGGATGATTATTTTTGTCATGGAATTTCAGTACAACATCCAGATGTACTGGTCCCTCTGGGATGAATTTATAAGGCTCATGATATAGGAAAAGGAATATAGGGCTAAGAATAGTTTTATTTCTGATATAAATTCTGGTACTTTGCAACAAAATTCGAAGTCAAGTCATGCCAATAAATTTTAAGATCCAAATAAAATAGATAATTTTCTATGAAGATGAAAAATACCAAAATTGACTCAAGAAGAGAGGGAAAATGGAAGATGTTGAAAAATAGCATAGGAATTCAGAAGTTGGCTCTAGAATCAGGTTTCCTGAAAGTTGAATTCTAGATCTGTCATTTATTAGCTGTGGGATTTTGGGCAAATTTCTTAACTTTTCTGTGCTTCAGTTTTCTTAGCTGTAAAATTGGAATTGTTATGAAAATTCACTGAAGGTATGCTTGTATAGATCATAGAATAGTATAAGAATATAGTATGCATTTGAGAAATGTTCATTATTATTACTCCCAGAGGAGTTTTAGGTATTGAGTGATGCCAAATCTAATTTGTTAATTGTATAATAAAAATCTATATTCTTACTGACTTTTTTTGGTCTGCTCATTCTTATAGACAGATATTTTAAAATCTGCCACTATGATGATGGATTTCTCTGTTTTTCTCTATAGGGTTGTCAGTAGCAATAGTAGAAATCTGGAAAAAGTTCAAATGTCCATCAACAGTACAGTGAGTAAATTATAGTCAGTTGATACAGTACACTACTACACAAGCAATTAAAGTGAATATACTTACAAGCTATAATATAAATGAATTTCAGAAACAATGCTGAGTAAAAGAAGCCATATACAAAATAATACCATATGATTTCTGCAGAGTTTAGGAGTCCTCAAGACCACCCTTCTAACACCAACTATAAAGTTCAGGGTCCCTGAAAGAACACCCACACTTCTGATGCCAACTGCAAGTTTGGGGTTCCTAAGACAACCCTCAGGTTTGATAATTTGCTAGACAGGCTCACAGAACTCTGTGAAACTGTTATACTTGGGGTTATAGTTTATTACAATGAAAGGATACAAATTAAAATCAGCTAAGGGAAAAGGTGCAGGGGCACAGTCCAGGAGGGTACCATGCATGGAACTTTCAGTTGTCCTCTCCCAGTGGCATTGTGGACAAAACTGACTTCTCCCAGCAACAATAGAGGTGCAGTGTTGCCAACCAGGGAAGCTCACCCTAGCCTCAGTGTTCAGAGTTTTTATTAAGACTCAGTCACACAGACATGGTTGACCACACATGTGGCTGACTTTTAGTCTTCAGTCCTTCTGGAAGTCAAGCTGATACTACTTGGCCCAGAGTCCCCAGGTAAACAGACATGCTTATCAGACAGCATATTCCAAGGGTGAGAGATCAACTCCCAGGAACCCAGGGCAAAGGCCCAACCTCTCTTGGATAAGGTTAACTCTACCATACAATTTCCTTTAGATAACAGTTCAAAAACCAGTAACATCGTAGCATATTTCTACAAGACTAAGTAGTGCTTTTGGTTAGAGGGAATGAGTGGTCTTCTTGGATGTTCACAATATTCTCTATTTTCCATGGATGGTGTTTCAAATGGGTGTTTGCTTTGTGATAAACCACTGATTTGTACACTTATGATTTTTATACTTTTTGTATATATATTAGAAGCTTCAAAATTTAAAACAACTTGTAACAAAGTTCTAAATTAACACAGTTGAAATGTTTAAAAATATTTTTATATCAGCTTTGATGAGGTATAATTTACATATAACATTAACAATTTTAACTGTACAGTTTGATGAGTTTTGACAAATACAGTTATGTAATCATCACCACAGCCAAGATGGAGAACATTTCCATCACCCCAAAAAGTTTCATCCTGCCCGTTTCAATCAGTCCCCTCCTTCTATGGCAAAGACTGGTCTGCCTTCTATTGCTGTACTTTTGCATCTTCTAGAATATCATATAAATGGAAGAATGTACTTAGTAGACAGTTGTGTCTGGCTTATTTCACATTGGACAATGCTTTTGAGATTCATACATGTTCTTGCATATACCATTAGTTTGTTCCTTTTTATTGCTGAATAGTATTCTATTATAAGATATATCACAACTTATTTATCCGTTTTCTAGTCTGTATTGCTTCCAGTTTAGAACTAATAGTTTTTTAAAAACTGCTATGAACATTTGAGAACACACTTTTATATGGACATAGGTTTTCATTTCTCTTGGGTAAATACCTCAGGGTTGACTTCCTGGGTCATATGGTAAGTCTATGTTTAACTTTATAAGATATAGCCAAACTATATTCCTAAGTGGCTCTACCAGTTTGCATTCTCATCAGCAATGTTTGAGAATTCAATTACCCCACATCCTTGTCAACACTTGATGTTATCAGTCTTTAATTTTAGTCATTCTAGTTGGTGTGTAATGGTCTTTTTATGCTTTTACTTTGCATTTCCATAAAGACCAGTGATTTGGGGCATTTTTACATATGCTTATTTTGACATTTGTATATCTTGTTTGGTGAAGTGCCTGGTCAAATCTTTTATCATTTTGTAAAAATTGAGTTGTCTCCTTTTTAGTGAGTTATTAAGTTATAAGTATTCCAGATACAAGTGCTTTATTATATATACATTTTGTAAGTATTCTCTCCCAGTTTGTGGCTTGCCTTTTTATTTTTCTAGCAATGCCTTTTGAAGAGCCAACATTTTAAATTTTGATGAAGTCCAGTTTCTCAATTTTTAAAATTGTATAGATTGAGCTTTTTGTGTCCTATTTTAAAACTGTTCACCTAACCCAAATTGCTAATGTTTTCTCTTGTATTCTCATCTCTGAGTTTTATAGTTTTAGCCCTTACATTTAGGTCTGTCATCCATTTCAAATTAATTTTTATTTGTGATGTGTGGTGGGAATTAGCTCTTTTTTTTTTTTTTTTTTCTATATGTGGCTATCTAGTTGTTCCAGCATCATTTAGAAAATATTATTTTTTCCTCAATGAGTTGGTTTGACACCTTGGTGGAAAATCAGTTGACCATATATATGTGGGTATATTTCTGGACTCTATTTTTTTGATCTATGTATCTATTAATATTTTTAATGCTAGTATAACACTGCTTTGGTTACTGTAGCTTAAAAATAAGTCTTGGAACTGGGTAGTATAAGGCTTCTAGCTTTGTTCTTTTATGCACTTAATAACAGAGTTTCAAAATATGTGTAGCAAAACCTGATATAACTGCAGGAAAAATAGACAAATCCATAAATGACAAAACCATGGTAGATATAGTGAACATCTACTTTCCTTCTAGAAATTTCAGTAGTCTATAGAAGTAGTACATAGAAAGTAAGGATATAGGCTGGGCATGGTGGCTTACTCCTGTAATCCCAGCACTTTGGGAGGCTGAGGCGGGCAGATCACAAGGTCAGGAGATTGAGACCATCCTGGGTAACATGGTGAAACCCCATCTCTACTAAAAATAAAAAAAAATTTTAAAATTAGCCAGGCATGGTGGCAGATGTCTGTAGTCCTAGCTACTCTGGAGGCTGAGGCAGGAGAATGGTGTGAATCCAGGAGACGGAGCTTGCAGTGAGCCAAGACCGTGCCACTGCACTCTAGCCTGGGCAACAGAGCGAGACTCCATCTCAAAAAAAAAAAAAGAGAAGGTAAGAAAGTAAGGATATAGCAGACTTGAACAACATAACCAACTTCATTGGCCCTTATAGGATGTTCAGCCAACAACAGCAGCATACACATTATTCTGAAGTACATAAGGGACATTTACTGAGGAAAACCATGTTCTGGGCCATAAACATGTGGAGACAAAAGTGACTTCATCTTGAATGCTAATCCACCATGTTGACTTCTGAGTAGCCCCAGTACTGTACTTTATTTACTGTCCCTAGTGTAAGAACATATCAACCTTGAAGCTATCACACAAATTATAGGCTATGACGCATATAGCATTCTTGCCTGTTCTAGAGGGTTGCCTTTTATTGTCTTGCTAGACTTGTCTTGTGGCTGCCCAAGACCATGCCTCTGTTTGTAAATTCCCCCCAATAAAACATCCTTTCTTGAAAAACTAAATCTGTCTCCCTTCTTCTTTGGTTTATTGGCTTCTTTGGCACTTGGGGGCCACTTTGCGTATATAGCCCTTTCACAGAACTAAACAAGACTCAGTACATTTAAAAGGATTCAGGTCATATCAAATCTGCTCTCTGACTACAATAGAATTAGAAAATTTTCTGTGATCTGAGTCATAAGAAAAAAAGGAAAAGAAATAAAAGAGAATCAAGTTAAAAATTAATACAAAAAGATCTCTGGAAAAATCCTCAAGTACTTTGAATCTATATAACCCACGGATTAAGGAATAGCTCAAAAGAGAATTTAGAAAGTATTTTGAACACAATTAAAATGAAAGCACAACATATGAAAATTTTCAGGATACCCTTTGGGCAGAAAAGAGAAACAGGCCTGCAGGAGAACCACCAGAGGCCAGTGTGACTGGAGCAGAGTCACCGAGAGTGGTTGGCGACAAGGTCAGGGAGTCATTCAGGAGGTGAGGTAGACCAGGCAGGACCTGCCCAAAAGCTTTTGGTTTGCACTCTGAGATGGCGAACTGTTTGGAGTTTTGAATGCATAAGTCACATACTGCAAGTTCCATTTTAAAGGGATACTCTGGCTGATGTGTGGAGATGAGACAGTGAGAGGACAAGGCAACAACAAAGGGGCCAGGTAGGAGGCATTTGCCATAATCCATAAACCAGATGACAGATCATAACTGATTTGCAACAGTGTGACAGTAGTAAGGCAGTGAGAAATAGTAGGTTTTTGGATGTGAATTGAAAAGTAGAACCATCAAAATTTCTAATGAGTTGGATGTTGGGTGTTGGGGAGTAGAAGGTGTAAGCGATGTCTCCACACTCATGAGTATGGAACTTTTTTACACCTCTTAGTCTGTCCTGTGGCTGCCATCCTTTAGTTCAAATACAATTTTGGTTTGTCCTTTTCTTCTCTTTACTTTCAGGCATGGGTCTACCACGGTGCTTCACTGAGCAGGTCTCCTTGGTAATACATCTGCAAACAAACCCAGCAGTTACTTTGAGTTCAGCTATTCCATGTGCTGCTGAGCAGCAAGATGTGCAGCCAGTATGTGAAAATAAACAGAATGCAGTGTGACGATTGTGATCATAAATTCCTTTAGAGACCATTAGACCGAGACAAACAAACACATCCAGCAATTCCAAATCATTGTATACAATAGAAAGGCAAGTGATGGATGGCACTTTATTTTCAGTAAATTGCTAAAAAGAAAATGCTTCCCCTAGAAGAGCTAGGCATAGATGAGCATAACCTTCAAATACCATTTGCAGAAGCAAGGGGGAATAAGTGAGATGAAAAGAGAGAGTTAAGAGTTTGATTGCTGCCTTACCTTCGATGTGGCTCCATTTATAAGTCCCCAAATCCCTAAAGCAAGTGTGAAAGAAAAAAAAAAGACTCCAAGATGTTCTATCAGAGTGCGAAGTCTTTGTCTTCAATCTTGTAAGAATGATTGGAATTTGTTATTGATTAA